ACTGAAAGCTGGTCAGGGTAAGATAAAGGAGTTTTGTTTTGATCTGTTCCTGTTCTTTACTCTTGGAATTTTATGAAAGGACATAGTGTGTACTTTCTGCTGTATGAGTCCTTTTCTGAAATGTGTTGATGTGCAGTCACTGTGGCACACAATTTATAAATCACACCTTTAATGCCATTTTGAGCAGGGAGACCTGCCGGGCCCTGAGGCCATCACCCTTTTGTATCCATCAGTCATCCTAAAAAAATGTTTAAAAGGGTAGTTCTTCTTCATGTTGTTTTCTCCTGTGTAATTATAAACACTATTGAAATAGCATTGCAATAGCAAGGCCTAAATCTGTTACAGGAATGTATCTATACATATTGTAACTATTACACTTCCCATAATAATTATAAAATAGAGTTTTATCTTACGTCCTTGAATGCAAATGCACCACACTCTCATCGCAACAGTCCATTGAACTCCACCGGCTATTGAAGGCTGTGTTAAGTTCGGGAATTATTTTGGTTAGTAACAGTTTTGTTGTTGTTTTTAATGTTAGAACTTCCCCTGCAAGAGGTCCACGTGCGCTCGCTCGCTCCTGCGCGGGTGTGCGGTCCAAGCCAAACAAGAGTCATGATTATTTAAAGAAGCTCCTTTGACTCCACAGTCCACTCATCCTTTTCAGATACAAAAATAACACATTGTTTTATCTCTGAGTATAAGAATCGTGTTTCAAAGGAAATAAAAAGAGCAGACAGTTTCCTTCCTGGCTAATTCACGAACCTCTTTAAATCTGTTAAACATAACCACAGACACAACTTACTCGCCTGGTTTCATTTCCTAAACTCAACCTGACAAGATAGGTCAGTGGGAAGGGACAATTTGCATATATTAGGAAATCAGGCTAAAGCCAGGGAATGTTTCACAGCCACTGGAGTGAGGAGAATAGTGCTTTAGACTCTAGGGCAGGAATCTAATTTCAGAGATAAAATTAGTAAGCAGGTACTGCATTCTATTGTTCTGAACAGCATTCAAAGATCAAATTTTTATTCAGTGAACCCAAAGTATTTTAATTTAAGATGGCATATAACTCATAGGAGTCATATAATATCAACTTTCAAAAAGTTTTCCTACTGAAAATGATAGTTATCCTTAAATGGAGCTGAAACCTGCCTCCTTGAAACCTCACCACCATCTCCTACCTTGGTTCTCTCCTTCTCTGTGTCAAAGAATGAGTTAAATGTCTCCTTGATCTGAAAGCCTTTAAATATTTGAAGAAAACAATCAGCCTAGGTTGTCTAATTTTTAGAGTAAACATTCTCATTTCCTTGTACTGTTTTATCATTACCGTATTAGGACTATGGTACCACTAATTTATGCTTCTGTTACAGATGGATGTGATGTCTCAGGTGTGATGATTGCAGAGCAGGTCATCTGTTTTCTCAGCTAACCACAACAGTTGAACGGAGAGTTTGGATACAGTCATCACTCTAAAAAAGTACAAAAGGGAGCAAGCGAGAAGGTGGAAACACTATGAAAAGCAGATACAAGAACTGAAAAGCATGGCAGCTGGGCAGCGGCCAGTAAAAGCAAGGGTGTATGGAGCATCCGTGGCTGTGCTGCAAACTCCACCATTTCTCTGATTGATGGCAGAAGTTAATGCTGCATGAGGGAAAAGAGGTCATGGATCAAAACCACAGATTCCTCATGAAGTTCAATGGACTGGACAATAGGAAATGTATAGAATTATTTAGACTCTGTAATTACCAAAGAAGATATCAGTGTAGAAAGTCCAAAGTTGCTTCATAACTTGCTGCTTTTCTCCTGACTCATTCACCTTGCCAATCCAATATCCTACAAGGCCTCCTCAGAGGTCAAGTCACCATGTCCTTTCTTGCTCCTATGAACATCTTGAGCCCCTATTAGCGGCATTATGTAGTCTTGTTTTATACAAACTAGTATTTCTACTTTACCTTTAAGAAGCAATCAGAGTGTTTATTGAACTGGTTCTAATTGTTTCACATGCACCTTACTCTCCTTCCAACTAGGTCCTCAAAGCCCATTGAAGTTGGTCATGGCTTACACTTCCACAGCCTGCATAATCCTGGGCAAATGAATGTGTTGAGTTAACAACAAACTGAATTTGGCTTATCTCTATTGCCCTAAACAATATATTGTTTTTCAGATATTCAGTGGTGGTTTTCTAAATAGATAAATCCAACAAACACTTATCAACTGCTTTGGGATAGCCAAGTGAATAATAGGCAATGATAAGCACTGTAGTAAAGGTGCATGTCAAGTGCCATGGGAGCATGGAAGGGCCCATGATGGTGTGACAGGTAGTCAGGTGTAGAGAAAGTGAATTTTAATAGATGAGTGGGATTGTCTGGGGCAGGGGGAAGATGGGAAGGAAGCCTCTTCAGGCAAAAGAAAAATGTAAAGGCAGAAGACTAAAAGGAGCACAGTGTGCACGCTGGATCACAAGCAGTGCAGGCCAGCTGCAGTGCTGGGCGTGGGAGGGATGTGGGTGAGGATGAGGATGGAGAGCAGACCATGGAGGACCTGTGTGCCTGGTGAGGGGAACAGGCGTTTGGGAACCTCTGCAGCTTTTGAAGCAGGGAAGTAACATGTCCTAGGTTACTCATTCAAAAAGGTCGCTGTAGATTTGGGAGTACGTTGGAGGGTAAGAGGAGTAGATAGGCTGCTTGGGAGGCTAAGATATGATGTCGAGAGATGATAGGGGATCAGAACATCTGCAATGGCAGCTGATATGGGCAATTCAAGTAATGGTTACTTCCCCTTTGCTCAACAGAAAATGATATAGGCTGTTAGAAACTGTCAGAACTTACCAGTGACAGCAGTATTCCTGTCTGACTTTTCAGGAAAGCATAACATTAGTGGGAAAAAGAATCAGTGTAGGAGATCTAAAAGCAGGTAGAGAGAAAGCCAAATAAGAGGATAACTGAGTCTAAAAACTCAATTTTATGCTAAGGCCTTGCAGACAATTCCCAAGACAACTCAGGAACGAGAAGAACGGAGGGAGGATGGAAACTGACAGTTTCCAAAGACGTGAGCTCAGGTCTTAGCCTCACTACCTATTCTTTGTGCAGCTTTGGTCAAGTAATTTAACCCCTTTGAGTCTCTTTCTTCCTATCTGTAGCCTGAAGATAATACTATAATACTTCTTTGGACTAAATAAATATTAGTCTCTTGCTAAGTGCTGGGTATGGGTATGGGATACAACAATATGTCAGACACAGTTCATTATTCAGTAGGGAAGAAAAGCATATCAATAATTAAATAATAACAGAATGCAGAATAAAATGAGCCTGACTAAAGACCTAGGAACCATGGTGTGGGAGAGCAGAGAAGAAAATGAGGAGACAACGTCTGACTCAGCTGTTCATCTTGGAGGACATTACCAGGTAGAATGCACCTAAACCATCCTGGAGGGTAAGGAACATGTCAATGAAACAGGGAGGAGCCTGGACAAAAGACTTCACAGGCTGTGTTCACGGCCATTTTTGACCCACATTCAGACAGAAGTGGGTACAGATACCTGGGAAGGGAGAGCAGCTATGTGGTGGGTTGGAGTGAGTCAGCGCCCATTTGCCATTCCTAGCTATAGCTAACCATTTCATTCCTCTCTGGGTTTATAAGAACTGCTCCAAGTATCTTGCAGGGTTGCTGTGAGGATATGGGGGAAAATGCCTTCTGGACTGAGCATTAGGAGTCTTCCTTGCTACCCCTCGCTCAGATGCAGGTCCCTCTGTGCCCCAGTGCAGCTCCTCTCTGAGAGTCACATCTGGGGTTCTTGTTAAGAGATAACTTAACAGCCCTTTGAAGAATGAGGCACTAACGAGAGATTCACACCTAATACATCATTTTCTCCCTGTATAAGCAGAAAAGTTGAAACAATACTTTAAAACAAGGGTTACCTGGGAGACAAATAGGACCATCACTAGAAGTATTTGGGAATGCTACCTCGGCTTCCTCTGAAAGCCTAAATTTGTGGGAGAGTACTTTCAGATTTGCTAAGAGAGCCTCTAAAATCATTTCCTTGTAAAAGTGTGGGGATACTGTTCTCTTTTAAAGGATTCTGAATTCTCAGTTACAATCTCTAAGCACTGAAAATTTCTAGGGCAGAGGAACAGGTGTATATTGCCTTCTCCTTACATGTTCTGAAGTCTGGGGAGCATTTGGAAATAGGCTACTGAACAAATTCTTTCTTTTCGTGTAAAACCTCAGTGTACTATAGATATTTACATCTAATATCTAATTTAATATTTAATATTTAGCTGCCAATTTAATATTTTATGATGCTCTAACTGTTATGTTTTGGGTGATTCTTGGCACTGGAGAATTGAAGCTGAGGTCTAAACTATTTTCTAAATGGAAGCCACATGGCCACAGCTCCGGGTGGGATGAGGCCTCTTTGGATTTTGCTGCTCAACAAACTATCTGAAGACCATAAAGTAGAAGCACTTGGAGTATTTTCCAGGTGGTCTTAAAGGTGGTCTGTTTATTGTGTTGCTTCTCTCTGATAATATTTTGCTGCCTACTTCATGTTAAAAACCGCCTTGTGAAAAATTTGGAAGATATGTCTAACTCACGGAAATTAGAAATGGGAAAAAATGAACAATTTCCAGTGTGTCGTGTTTCTATTCCCATCTACACCCATCTTCCTTTTTGGATCTCCTTCTCACAGGTGTGGCCACTCAGTCATCCTCTGTGGGTCAATGTCATCACACTGGCAGCAGCTGGTTTTCTTCTGGGAGCTGCTCCCCTCACGAAGACTCTGTTCTGATGGCTCTCTAGGGCAGCCAGCCCATGTCCTCACCTTCCGTCTTGCCAAGTGGAGCCAGACAAGCTCTTCCCAGAGGGATAGGGGGAAGGGCAGGAGGTCAGGGAAAGGCACAGATGGGAGGGGCAACAGGAGACTGGGAGGTGAAAAGTTAAACAAACAGGGAAATAGATGTCTGAACAGTTTCTGGTTGCTCTCTAAAGCAGCTGTTTACCTTGAACAGTGAGGTATGCTGAACTTTCCACGGACCCCCTCTGGTTGGTGGCTTTGCAGTGATAGAAGCCTTCATCCTCTTCTGTGACTCTTTCAATAAACAGCGTGCTGCTTCCTGGTCCTAAAATAATTCCTAAGGAGTGAGAGATGTTTGGATTAGTGGGCCTGGATGACAAACATAAACAGCTCCTTTGGTAACACAACCCATTCCTATCACTATGCATTCAGACAAGGAAATCCGAGCTTGGGCTAACCTGGGGCAGGACTGCTTATTTGTTTTCTCTGATCCAGGCTCTTTAATAGCACCTTCACCACCCAGCAGCACTCTGACCCCCAGCTTTGGGGATGCGTCTGACCAAGGCCTTTCACTGTACGAAAGAAATGAGATGGGCAAATCTCATTTGAAGAGCAAATATCAAGGAGGTAGCATACCTAATAATGATAACTACCATTCGCTCAGGGTCTGCTGCATTCTGGGCATTATGCGAGACACTATCTTGGGTTTAGAACCATCTGTGAGGCATGGTCTCCATTTTATGAACGTGGAAACTGAGGTTTGGTGAGTTAAGCAACTTGACCAAGAGCATACAGCTGGACTGAACGCACATTTGTGGCACTTGGGTCGAAGGAAATCAGGCGTCGTTTGTCATAGGGGTAGAGATCTTGGGCTATGTTTAATCTAGACCTTACTGCTTCAAGCTTTGTCACTTTCAGCAAGTTACTTAACCTTTCTAGGTTTCAGTTACTTCAGTCTTAAGATGAATATGAAAGTGGTTCCTACTCGATAAATAGGAAAATGAAGGCAAGTGTACGGCATATAGTAAGTAAATATAAGCTTAAGTACCACTACAGAGCAGGGTGTCATGACAGGAGCATCAGGAATCTTCAGATCCCGGCTTGAGACCCAGTAGCTTCAATGCCAAGTGCTATCACCATGTATTTATTGAGTGCTTACTCTGCCATTAGCCCATGGTAGAGACTGGAGGTGGGGGGAGGGAAGAGAGAGAGCCAGGCTAAGACAACACCTGCTGAGAAGGGAAAATTAACTCATACCAAACACACACACACACACACACACACACACATATATATATCTGACACACAGCTATACCAACAAACAAAAATGGTTAATGAATGAGAATGAATAAATGTAGCACAGCATACACAATTAAACACAAAGCCTAGGGTGGGGGTGGGGGGTGAGTTCGGTAAGACTAGGAATACTCAGGGAAGGCAGCATGGAGAGAGAAATGGAGGAGGCGGGCCTTGAACTGAGATTTGAAGGGTTAGCAGAGGTGAAGGGAGAAAGGGAGGCTGCAGAGAAGGCGTGATGCTGAAATGAGTATCCGGTGAGTGCTTGTGCTGGCACAGTGACAAAATGGGCCTGACAGGACTGCAGGGTATATTTTGTTAGTTTAAATAGTTTGTAGTCTCTCTGATTATAATATATTCAATATAGAAAATTTGAGAAATCTTGGAAAACATAAAGAATATGTGAAAGAAAAAACCTATACTCTTATCTCTGATATTTTTTCTTTAGTCTTTTAAGTGGACTTTTTTGTAAACTGTTTGTTTGTTCACATAATAAATATTTTTGAGCTCCTAGCATTACTGGACAGTATTCTAGAGGCTGGTGATATAATAATAAGCAAGGCAAATAAATATTTGTCTACAAAGAGCTTAAGTTATAGTTTTAGAGAACTATAAATAAATAATGTAATATCAAGCAGCTAAAAAGTCTGAGAAGAAAGCCTGATTAAGGGGATTGTGGGTGAAGGAGGGTTAGGAAGCTTATATAGGGTGTTTTGGGAAGGCTCTCGGAGGAAATGATGTTTGAGCAGATACTAGAAAGATGGGAAAGAATGAGCCGTTTGAAGATCTGGAAAAGGGCACTTTAGGCATGAAGTCCCTGGGGCAAGAATGAGTTTAAGGAATAGTGAAAAGACCATTGCGACTAGGGTAGAGTGAGCACCAGGAGAGATGAGAGCAAAGGCAGTACCCACAGGCCATGGTAAAGATTTTGGGTTTTTTCTAAGCACAGAAGAAGCCAGTGGAGGGTTACAACACTGTAGGGGGACCAGGGAGGAAACAGTGAGAGCAGTTGGCTAGCTACTGAAACAGTCCATGAAAGATACGTGGCTTTTTCCTGGAGTGACTGTGTTGGAAGTTGTAAGAAATGTTGGCTTTGGGGATATTTGCAAAGGCAGAACCAATCAGCTCACTTATGGGTTAGTATATGATACATGAAAAGGAGCGATGAAAGTGAATGATTTGAATACCTGGGAGAGAATAGTGGTACCTTTCCTGTGGGGGAACAGGTTCAAGGGAGGAAAATCAAGAGTTCTGTTTCACACATGGTAAGACTGGTGTGCCTATTGCACATCCAGAATGAGGTTTAACTGAGAGATCAGGCAGGAGATTGGGAGTAGAGACAGCTACACGGAATCAACGTACAGAAGGCGCGTCAAGCCCTGGGGACAGAAATAAACCTCATCAGACATGAGTCCAAATAGAGAAGAGAGCAGATATGAAGGCTTAGCAGTAAGAACTTAGAGGAAGAGGAAACAGCAACAGAGGCCAAAAAGGAGTAGGCTCTGAGCTGGGGAGAAAACAGAAGAGCGGGATGCTCAGAACCCGAGGAAAGAGTTCACAAGGACAGAGTGGTTAGCTCCATGCAATACTGCTGCGAGACTATTGCGAAGGGAGACAGCTGGCCACTGGATTTGACAATGAGCCATTCCAGTGAAGTTTGGGATCAAAAGCATGATTAATGTAACTTAGAGAATAGGAGATAATGAACTAGAAATTACTTTCAAAGAGGTAGCTGGAGAACAACATGAGCCCAAAGACTGAATTCTTTTTTGAAATGTGAAATTTTATATCATGCTCTTGTGCTAATAGGAAAAATGAGAGAGAGAGAGAGAGAGAGAGAGAGAGAGAGAGAGAGAGAGAGAGAGAGAGAGAGAGAGAATAAATATGAATGAATGTGAATGCCAGGAGTAAAATTTCTGAAGTGAGAAGGAATGGAATTCTGTGGCCAAACTGGCCTTAGGTAGGAGATAGTTAATTCATTTTAACAGGAAGGATGGCAGAGTATAATGGGAGAGGTAAACTGGATAATTTGGCGATATATATTTTTAATAAATAAGTGGTACTCATCTTTTTAAATTCAGGAAGAGGAGGAAATTTTGGAGTTGTGAAGAGAGAGAAAAAGGTGTGAAATATTGTGCTGGGAAAGAAAGTAAACAAATTCAGCACTGAAATGTAAGACTTCTTCTAATTATAAAATACTAATTCCCCCTTCCCCAATATTAAGCATAAGTATTCCCCCATGCTCTTATGTACTTTTAGTATAATCATTCATTAGGTGTGTGTAGTCTATCAGTGGCATTAGGTTATATATCTAATTGCTCATAAATATAAATAATAATGCAGTTAATGTCTTTAGGCATAAAGGTTTTTTGGATATTTCAGATTATTTCCTTAGCATAGATTTCCAGAAACAGATTAGGTCAAAAACTCTTAATTCATATAACCAAAACGTCTTCCAAAAAGATCATACCAATTAACACTTCAATAGCAGAGGATAAGAGACTATTTTATCACTCTCCTGCCAGTACTGAGCAGTATCACCTAAAATACAAAAAAAACTTTGCTTATTTGATAGATGAAGATCACAGTCATTTTAATTTTTATTTCTTTGCACATTCTTTCATATGTTTGGTAGCCATGTTTACTTTTAAAGTACTGGTTTTGAGTAGTTGAAAAGGTGAGTTCATACTAAGGAGAGCTCTGAAATCCTGGCTGACTAGTTCCCATTCTATGTAGAAGGAAAGAGAGGGTCACAAAGATTTTTGAGCAGGGAAATGACATGTGAAGGCAATGTTTAAGGAAGTTTAGTCTAGAAGGAGAATGCAGTATGAAGAAAAATGAGGAAAACGTGGCGTCTGGAAGGCCAGCCCAGCAGATGTAATCCAGGCAGGGGAAGATGAGGACCCAAACCTGGAGGGTGGGGAAGGAAGCAGAGAAGAGAAATGGAAATGGACACTTTGTAGAAACGATCTATAGGAATTAGTGCTTCACTGGATATAGGAACAGAAGGAGGTGAGTTTTACAGGGTTTCAGTGTCCTAAGCCTAGAAGACAGGGAAAAAGTGAGAGTTTCCTCTTGTAACCTTGGCTAACCCATTTAATCTCTTTGAGGGTGTTTCCCCATCTGCTAAATGAGAATTATATCAGCTTTGCCCATTTCATGGTATTGTTATGAGGTCAATTAAAATCATATTAGTGAAGCTTTGAAGCTTTGAAAAGATGAAGATATAAGTGGTAATCACAGAAAGTAAAAGTATACTTGGATAATAGGTGGTCAGGGGCAATGAATGTTTATAATGCAGCTATCTTGTTACCCTTAATCATCTCTTGCAGCAGACCTGAGCCTCGACCACTTTTTCTATCACTCAAATCCCAATTTAAGGCCAACACCATGAACAAATACAGCCAAAGGACTTGGATTCCAGCCAAAGAGACAAATGTGTGGTTGTAAAGGAGAGAGGAATAGTGCCAAGAACGCTGATAAGCTAACATCATCTGGCACAGTTTCCTCTTTCCATCACATGGAGAAGAGGAGATGGGGTGAGAGGGCATCCCACATCAACAAGCAAAGCTCTTCTTTCTGACTTGCTCTCACATTGCACCATAACAAATAGCAGACATTGATGGCCCCCATCAGATACGCCACTCAAAAATCTCATTCGCTACTCTTGTTATTTATTTCCCTTCTCACAAAAAACAGGCCAGCTACTGCCTTTATTATATTTTGCTCATAATTCAAATCTTCTGCCCATATTTATTGGAGAGTTGTCTCCTTCTTTAATGCCTTAACCTATTATTCCTCACTTTCTATTACCCAATTCCTGTGATACAGGCTCTGTTCTATGGAGGAACTCATTTTTTAAAATGAGTTCTCTCTTTTTCATTCATTTTTTCATTGTGATTAATTTTAAAAAGTACATTAAAAATACGACCCATGTACCACCATTAAGATAATCAGATGTAAATATTTTGCCATATTTGCTCTAGACCCATCTCTTTCATATGAATAAAACATGCAGCTTATCCTTTTCTGCTCCCTCTT